TCTTCCACCAAGAAGTCCTCAGCTGGCATGCTGGCCAGCAACCTCTGAGCAGGATTTTCTGTGCTCAGTCAGGGGGCCTCTTATCAAAGAGCAGCATTTAAAGCCCCCTGTGCAGAGCGGAAGGAGTCCATTTTGCCCTGAGGGAACCTTTATGAAGGGATTGTCCGAGCCCAGGCATGGCAGGGTGATCTTGCAGGGCTTTTACTCACTCAGTTGGCTTTAGGCTTCATAGTGGAAGAAATGCCCCAGCAACCAGGAGGAAGGCCAAGCAGCAAGTCAAGGCCAAGATTAATGTGTGGCCCAGCACACCCTCAGGACTAAGGCAGAATCTCTACAACTCTGATGCATCCTCAGGGAGAGGAGAGCTGGGGAAAGAAACTGAATGCTTGGAAATTGTCAGTGATTCGAGTAGACTGAACACACGGTGGGTATTTTCTGAGACCAGAAGAGAAAAGAAATGACAAAAGATGACCCTTATTTCTCTGCATCCACAGTTGTGTGTGCGCCCTGCTGGCTGCTGAACCGCTCCAGCGGGGCTCCTCTGAGCTACACTTTATGACCCTGCTTGAGGCAGTGGGTCTGAGATGGTTCCTGGGCATGGAGGGCATCTGTAGTTGCCCATGGAGGAGGACCATCTTCAGGGTCTCAATTAGTCAGAATGAAAGTCTCCACCACCAACCAAATCACTTCTGGTCCTGCTGATTTCCTCAGACTCACTTGTGAGTGCATTGCCAAGTGCAGGGCGGAGAATGTCGGAGGCCACATGTCCAAGGGGAGACGAGAGACAGAGGTTCAACCTCCTGCCCCACCTCTGGCCAGACCCCACCGGGGGGCTCCTCCGTGGCTGAGCACCTGATTGACACTGTCCCCTCAGTGGCACCCCTGCTTCTGCTCTCCTCCACGAGCAGATCCAGAGAAGCCAGGTGGAAAGGGCTTCGTCTGCTCTTACCCTTCCCCTCGCTCCACTTCAGAACCAAATGGGAGCTGTCATGTGCTGAGATGCGTCTGCTTCCCCGGCCCAGAGACTGCTCCCGGTGCTGGTCAGACCCAGGAAACGCCAAGCAGTTGTTAGGAGGGTGGTCTCCCCTGAGGTCCGAGCCTGAGCAGACAGGAGCCAGAGCTGCTGGAGGCCGTCCGCCACGTTCATTAGCCATGTGGAAGAGTAAGGCCCCAGTGTAGTGACAGAGCCAAGAAGGGAGAGGAACAATGACCTGGCTTCCCACCTCCCAGAGACAGCTTCCCTCTAAGCCTAGATATATGACATGGTGAGGTGAGGGGCCTCTATTCGGTGAAGCCACTTTGGTTTTCTTACTTTAAAACTCAAAGAACCCCAATATAGAAACCACAGAAACCTCTTTCAGTTGGTCCCAGGTAATCAATCGGCTTTTCCTGTTCCCTGTGGCCTCTCCAGTGAGCCAACCTCTCCCCCCCTACATGTTCCATGCACCCGGGAGGGTTGATCCACCACCCACCAACACGGCTCGGCTCCTGGCGGTCTGGGACTCCACTCCCCTTCTCTTTAACATTCCCTTCTTTTTGTCTGAACCCGGGTATTTCTTCAGAAACACTGTAGATTCCTTTGAGGGCAAGATTCTCTTTGATCCAATTCCTGTTGTCTGGTATCACAGTTCACACACAGTCCTCCCTAACTACTGCTAAACAAGTATGAGTTTCTGTCTCTCTGGCAGATCATCCCTGACTAAAGGAAGAAAATAAGTAAGTTCCCCTTTATTTTCTTGCCAATGCAAATTGCAACTAATTTCTCTCACCATTTCACAGTAGGTTCTTCCCCTTGTCTTTACTTTAGTGTGAACATTGCATAAGTAGCTGCCCTATGATGTGATCACTGGGCAGCAGGTGGGGGAGCACCCTGGTCTCCTCTTCAGCTAAAGCCTTCTGTTGGCACCGTATTTGCACCTTAGGGCCAGGTACTTCTTCCTCTAGGGAAAAGCAGGAATCACTTCTTACATAGGATTTATATTTAATTCAAGTAATTCGTAATTTAACTTAATAAATGCTTTGAAGGCATTGATGAAACACCAGGTACTGTTCTGAGCATCTTAACTATATTAACTACTTCCTCCTTTTAACCACCTTGCCAGGTAAACATGTTTGCTACCATCAGCCTCATTCCATAGGTGAGGATGTAGGGACTCAGAATGATTGGGGAATTTGAGCAAGTTGGCACAGGGATTGGTGGCCGACCTGGACTTCGTAATGGGCAGGCTCCTTCCACAGCTCCTTCCCTAAGCACTAGGCCTTGCCCCCTCTACCTGGGATCAGGGCCGGGTCCATGCTGCATATCTGTGCCCTTCTCAGCATGAGTTGACTGTTTTCCAGAGCATCAAGAGTAGGTCTCTTTGACCTTTATAAGCAACATGTGGATGTGTGCATAATAAATGTCTCCAAGCTCATTATTCATTAACTAGGTCCTGGATGCACATTTATTTGTATCATTCAGTGCAGTTAATTATTCACATTGTAATCAACGCCAGTCCTAAGATTTGTCTTCTCAAAATATATTTCCAAGCCACATAGAATCTGTGCCAAGAATTCACTCTAATTACACATCGTACCAGTTTTGAATATTAGAGATGACTTGAAGGCAAAATGTGTGTTATTTAAAAGTATTCGACTTAGAGTAAATAAATGTGATTCTCTCCAAAAAAGAGGAGACAAAGTTGCATGTCCCTTATCTCTTTTTATTGTCCTTTCTAGATGTCTAAAAGCATATGGATTAAATTAATGCCTATTTTTATTTGCCCATAAGCTATCACTTACTATTAAGCAGAACAGAATCAGATGCAAACCCTACTCTGTGGATTCACCTCCAGTAAACAGAACTAACATAAAGAGCATCTGTGGGGGCACTGATTCTTCCGTGCAAGGGTTATTCAGAGTAGCATTTGGGAACATTTTGGAGCCTTGGGGTATCTCTAGATTAAATCTCAGGAATAAAGTATTTATAAATAGTAGGCATTAAAGTGAACCCGTTCATCCTAGCTGCTCCTTTATATTGCTCCAATGGCCTCCCCTTATGACTATTGACTCCCAGGAGGAGGTAACTAGTTGACTGGTTGATGGTTTAAGTTGATGGTTCTGAACCCTAATGGACCCAATACTATTTTTCAGTAAATATTTTTAATCTCTTATCATTCTTAAATGAAATTCATAAATAATAAAATCCATATGCACAAAATTTCAACAAATAAATACGTTTAACAGTGATTAAAGGAGGAGAAATAATAAGGTAATTTACAGAGCTGGGAACGTAGCTCAGTGATACAGCGCTTGCTTAGCAGGTGCGAGGCTCGCAGTTCCATCCCCAGCACTGGGCCCCCCCAAAGAAAGTAATTTATAATGATATAATAACTATTTTATTATTTATTTATTTATTTTACGAGAATTTTAATATTTATTTATTTATAGTTTTCTGCGGACACAACATCTTTGTTTGTATGTGGTGCTGAGGATCGAACCCGGGCCACACGCATGCCAGGCAAGCGCACTACCACTTAAGCCACATCCCCAGCCCAATAATAATAACTATTTTAATTCGTAAACACTCTGTTGCAGTAGAAGAAATAATAAAGTGGGAAGCCATTTGCACCTAATACAAAATCGCCAAAATGTAACATATACTTTAGAACATGATATGTACAAGAGCAACCGAGACTAATGTGGCTGCATTGTGAGAGGACCCCAGTGATTACACAATGTATAATCTTCCATTTACATACTAGTTATTTACCTGAAAATTCATCTTCTTCACCTTTAAAAGTCTGCCAACTGTTTTGTGTTTACATGTAAATGGAGTTATCATTAGGCTCCGGTCATTATAAACAGGTTTTCAATCCTTAAGGAAATGACTATAATGACATTTGAAAGCTTGTAGGATGTGGGAAATTTTCCAGAGCTCTCCTGAGCCATCCTAGCCCTTCCTTCCAAATGTAAGAAATGCCCACCTGTCATGGTGTCATCTGAGAACATCCCATACATTTCCCCAAATGCCCTCGACTAGTGATACCCAGGTTAATGCCTAGTATTAGATTTAGCCCAGAATAATAACTGTACCTTCTTCTCCTGACTTTGTAATCTTGGAAAATAAAGGAACTTTTACAGTAAAATCCTCAATAATTGGATTAGTTTTAAGACTGTAAGTTTCAGGACTCTGAGGACTCAGGCCCTCCAGTATGCACAGTAGCTCAGTACTCAACACAAGTTCTGGGCTTCACTTGGTCTTGTTTGAATGAGCAAATAATTTTGGGTTTAGATATCTGAGCTAGTAACCAGATAGCTACTTTTCTACTTTCTAGCACATGTGGTAATACCTAGGAAGGCTTATAGTTATTTAATAATTATTTTAAAAGACTATTTCAGTTGTTTGTTTGAAGGAGTGACATCAAAATGTTTGAGGATGTTTGGAAGTTATCAAGAACCCTGAATCCTCAAGCCCTTTTAAGTAAGGAGAGAAAACACATTGGAGGCCTTGTGTGAGCAGTGGCCCCTGACCTAGGAGGCTTGCTGAATCTTTGCAGGGCTCTGCGGGGCAGCTCTTCTTGACCCAGTCAGACGTTGCCTCCATGGCAAAACAGGGTTTGAATCCAGAACTGCCCGGTCCCAAAGGTCTCCCTCAAGAAACCTCATATCCCTTCTTAAGCAGAACAGAACTAGGTTTCTGCAAATGTCCATTTGAAGGACCATCAATATGGCTGGGTGAGCTCCCGCTTAATATTTCCTCTGTGCACAGTTTCTTCTGTGCACAGTTCCAGTGGTCATGCTATTACATTTTGCTTTCCTAAAGGCTCAGAGATTTTTACATTGAGCCTGTTCCTGGTCAGATTCTAGGATTCCAGGTCACACAAGCTCACCTTTGTAAGTATCCTGAGGGTGGGGACTGTGACTTCTTCATCTTTGGGTCTTTACCATCCAGCATGGTGCCTGGCACGAAGAGAGTGTTCGTTGAGTGGAATTTAATTGAATAATGTTTCTCCTTTTAGGCCTTGGCCTTACACAATATTTCAGCGAGGCTTTGACCTGGTTTTGGGAGAGCAGCCCTCTGATAAAATATTCAGGTAAGTGGTTGATTGTCCGGGGCTGATGGCCCCGTGTCCCACTTCCCTCCGAACTCCCTTTCCTAGCAGTAAAACTATAAAATGAGAAACAACCAGAGTTGTTCTGCCCACCTAGAAATACAAGCACTTGCCGCCCCCCCAAGCATGTGCAGTGACAGCAAGGACCACTTAGAATTCGGATTCTGTTTGAGGCCTGGTTTCTTTTCTCACCAGCTCTGCGAACCTCAATAATTTACTTAACCTCTTGGAACCTCCAGTTCCTGCGCTTGTTAAGTGGGGCTTTGTTACACGTCTGGCGAGATTATTGTGAGGGATATACGAGATAATGCAGGGAAGGTCTCTGGCACAGAAACTGGCATAGAACGGGCAATTAATGTCAGTTTCTGCCGCTCTGTTCCGCATCTAATTTGCACCTTCCTCATAGAGACTTAGATTATTCAGAATTAATCGCTCCCGCCCCTGCCTCCCCTTTTCTAAGCTCTACCTCATCATTATTTTCTTTTATCTATTGCCCTCCTGATCAGAGTTGATGCTTCTAGTCCCTCCCAAATCTCTACCAGCATATCTGTGAATAGCACATATTAGAAAGGCCCACCAGCCCAGGGAGAATTTGGGTGCCAGCCGTGAACTATTGGATTTCCATAAAGCTGAATTCACAGCAGGCCTTATCTGGAATACAAGCTCATGCCCCGTCTCAGATCTTAGACTTAGGACATGTCAGTCTGTTCCTTCACTTAACGTACATTTGCTAAGAGCCAGAGATTGAACTTGGCCTGACAGTGTTGTCAGGAATAGAGCCCCCTCCATGAGCCACCCTGCCAGTAGACAAAGGGAACAGTCCTGCACTAGTGGCTGACGTCAGAGGATGAATTCCACCTCCGCATGCGTTGTTGGAGGAATGGTGATCCGCATGGGATGGGGCAAATCAAGCCTTCCTTCCTTCCTTCCTTCCTTCCTTCCTTCCTTCCTTCCTTCCTTCCTTCCTTCCTTCCTTCCTTCCCCTGAGGTTTGCCGAGGCTCATGCACCACCACCTCTTTGAGTCCTTCCCCAGACCCTCCCTGTGGGCTATTCCTGACTTAGGTGTTCATCTTTGCTCCTTTGCTGGCCTCTGGAATTCAGACCTCTTTAAAGCTTCTCGTGTCCCTGCAGGGAGCGTGGGATCGGCAGGCTTGACCCCGGGCAGGGTTCTCCTTCAGCATGCTCTTGGCTACGTGCGGATTTCCAGAACTAAGTCCTCAGAGGGCCTCTCCTTGCCCTTTGCTCTCCTGAGGGTCTTTCCCAGGGCAGCTGGGGTCATGTAATGACATTGGCTACAGGCTGCTTTTGAGACTGTGACTTGGTCATTTAAACTTTCCAACAATGATTTACCATTTGTGACTTTTCCCTTCCTTTTTCCTACTGCTAGTCTTCCAAGGCCTTCGAAGGCCAGTCACGTAAGGCAACAGGGAAGCAGGTGGAGTTTTGCTGATTAACATGCTCAGGTTCCCTGTTCCCTAAAAGCTGGTTCTAAAGAGGGCTTTTAATGAAATTGCTATTAGGGCAGAACTTGCCCAAAGCTGTGTTTCCATCCCCACAAACACTGTTTATGTTTGCACACTCGGCTGCCAGCTGGATGGGATACCTAAGTACCCGAAGGCGGGCAGTTATGTAGTGTAATCCATGAGGTCAACCAAATCAGGATCCACAGGGTTCAGCAACAAGTGATTACTAGTTTTTGTCCCTAATATGACAATAACTAGTCTCTCAAATGGAAATCATAGGTCGTAGTGTGCTTATTTTAGGACTTAGAAACTTTATTCAAAACTTCTCTGGAATCTGAGTCAACCACCTACCAATGGCTCCTCTGGAGGGGTCTCTGACCTGGTCATTGTCTGTAGTGGGCTACTTGCCTGCTGGCCTGCTCACTCATGTCTTAGTGTCCTGCTGAATTCCAAGCCAGTGCACATGTCTCTGAACCATCGAGTAAAACTGAAGCTCTGATATTCAAATCTTTCCATCACTGAGTGTCAACGTCAAACTCTTTTTAATTAAGCTGCTTTTCTCATTTGGAACCTTCTGTTCCTAATCAAATCTGTCTGCTACCTGATCCACTGCCCCCAATAACTTGAATATCACCTCTTCTGCACATTTTCTCATACACTCTCCTTTAATAAGAAGGCATCTTGTCCTCCTAATATTAACATTACCCTTTTTCATGGTGTAGACGAACTCTCTAACCAGTCATTTCTTGACCCCTACTTGTGCAAAATCCTGTTCCAGATGCTGTAGATATGACCAAGAAAGGCCCTGCTTTCAAGACTTTATAGTTTAGCCAGCACCATGGAGCAGGCCTGCAATCCCAGGTAGAAGGAGAGCAAATTCAAGGCCAGCTTCAGTTACTTACCAAGATTTCAGCAACCTAGCAAGGTCCTGTCTCAAATAAATAAATAAAAAGGACAAGGGAATGTAGTAGCTCCCTGGGTATTAATAAGGAAAAAAAAAATGAGTTTATAGTCTCATCCAGGAAGCGGTCTCTACCTCTAGTCCTGTGAGACTGTCCTCCTGTATGCTTTAAAAGGACCAATGAGCGTACCCAGTACAATCCAGTTAATTAAAAAGTTCAGAGACGTGTGGCTGAGGCTGGGGAATGAATGCTTTGAAGAAGCACTGCGGGGATTCTTGTCCATAGCCAGGATTAAGAAATACTGCTCCACACTCCTCTAATCCACGTCCATGGCACAATTCACAACTTTTACCCCTCCAAATTTCTATGACTTTGATATTTACTTGTCAATCACTCTATTTCAGATTTATTTTTAATTTGCCTATTTGTTTCCCAATGAGGTGGTTATCTTCTTGAGCAAAGGGGTGGCGCCCTCGAGGGCTCTTAGGGTTTAAAATCTAACACATAATTTTGAATAGGCTGCCTTCAGTAGCTATCTACAGTTTGCATTTCAGGCATTTCCCAAGGACTTGAAATCAGATTAGGAAATCTGGTGCCCAACCCAACCTTGGAAATCTGCAATCCCAGATAACTCCAAACTGCAACTTCAAACTAGACTGGGAGGGTCCACAAGGACCCCCGGCCCTGCAGCTGAATCCCCCCATCAAACCCATCCAATATGGCACCCTCATCTCATTCCCATAGACTCTGTGGTGGTGAATCAAATTCATCTCTCAGAGGCCTTCTTCCCCAGTGTACCTGCATCCCTGGGAACAATATCTCATTTTGAAACAGCCTGCTCTGGGAAAGAGTGAAGAGGTCAGGTTGAAGCTATTTATCTGTTTTTTATTATGTTTTTTTTTAATCTGTTTTCCCACATTCTGTTCCATGCCAAGCCATGGAGAGAGCACAGGCTGATTCAATCCAGTGCTCTCTGGTGAATGTTTGCCTCTGAACAGAAACCTCAGGCTCTGCTCAACAGACCATGCCGCGTGCAGCTGAGCCATCACTACAGTGGTCTTCACCAGCTGTCCCCAGAGGAGGCCCAACTTGGGAGAGTGCTGGAATTGCCCACCTACCTTCTGTTTGGTGGTCTGGGGAGTCATTCCTGCCAAATCTTCATGAATGGGGGGACAGATGAAATTTCAGGACACAGCTTTTCTCTGACAGCATATTCTATATTTGGCGTTTGGAGTTACTCAGTAGATTTTGCAGATGAAAGAAAGCTCTAGAATCTCTTAGGCATGAGCCAGCATGAGCTGGAAAGCTACTGTGACCATACCTAAGAACTGGACCATCCCCATCTTTCCCACTGACCAAGGGGTGACCTTGGGGAGCTACTAACATTGTTAGAATATCAGATGATGAGTTGGTAAGAGGGGTCAAACTGACAGGGCTGTCAGGAAGCTAAACAGGGCGTTTTGCTGGGGCTGTCCTCTGCCATCCTGGGGAGTCATCCTGATTAACAGTGATGGACACAGGAAAAGACAGGTGCAGTCCAGCATCTCAGGGGCAGCAAGGACTCTGTGTAAGGTGGACAGAGGACACTCCCTTGCTCAGCCTAAGGTTGAGGGTCAAGGTTCTGGGGGAATTTCTGGAAGGGTTGTGACTTTAAACTAAGTCTTAAGACGAATCAAATTCAGGAGAAGAAAAAAGGGAATAAAATCCAGAAGAAAGAAAGTTAGGAACAAAAGAAAAGAGATGAGAAATTAGGATGCCTTGAGGAAGCACCGTGGGCATTGCAGGAGCAGAGTGAGGTGGTTTTGCGGAGAGGAGCTAAAGATGTAGGTGGGGTGACGTGATACCTTTGGGGGCTTGGACTTTGCCCCCTGTGTGTGGGGTGCCATTGCACAGTTGGCTTTGGGGAAAACCATGGTTTGTTTTTCCCTATGACTCTCTGCAAAGGAAAAGGGAAAAGAGAGATGAGAATCTATAGACTCCCTTCTTCCAAAAGAAAAATGAACCATCAGAAATGTACTAGAACTGCCAACAGTTTCCCAAAATCTTACATAATCAAAACAAAATTATAATTTCAAAGCCAAAATAGAAAACAAATACCCATCTTTGTGTCCAATGAACTGCTTCATACAGCAGTGTCCTGACCAGAGCTTGCCTTTAGTATAAATGTTGCTGGCTCAAGGACCCATTGTGGAAAGCAAAGTGAAATCATAGGAATTCTTGGAAACTGTTTCCTTCAACCCACAGCACCCTTAAGTCCCAGATTCCAGGCATGTTGGAGGCCATCGCTAGCCCTGAATCTGCTCCTTGATATTTCAGATGGTGTGTGTGTGTGTGTGTGTGTGTGTGTGTAAATGGGCTGCTGTGTCTCCAGTTTCACTAGTTGATCCACAACAGAATGAAGTTGGGTGTTTTGGTCCCCCGAGTAATGGGCTCAGCTCCCCTGGTGCAGGCCCCTCCGGCTCACGCCCAGCTCCACCTAATACCTGGTGTCCCGGGGTGGAAGGAGCCGTGCCTCCTGCAGGTCAAGAAGCATCTTTGATGGCTCCCAGCAGGTCAGGGGAGCAGAACAACGGGAGTCAGGGCAGGAATGGGAGAGAAACCCCCCCCCAGTCCTGAACACACCCCTTACCTGGAGGTTTTGCCTCTCTCCTAGGAGTCCCTACAGTGATGCTGTCACCTGTCTTCTCCTCTTGCAGCTCTGGGGCCAAGGGTTGTCTGTCAGGGTGTGGGTGGAAATGGCTCGGGGAGCATGCTGCGTCTGTTCTGTGGCCAGCGTCCTGGGGAGGGCTACGGCACTTTTCATAAAAGCTCTGAAGCTTCAGTCTGCTTTCCTAGCATCTCAGGCAGCCCAGGGTGGAGAGGAGAACACAGGGGGTAGGAGGGAGAGAGGAGCCGGGTTCTGCAGGGTGCTGTGACCAGCACGGCACTGGTTCTGCTTAATTGTGCACCTCCTCCATTTTCCACGACTGCCACAGCTCCGTGATGTCCCACCCACACTGGCTTTTATCCCACAGACTATTTTTGACTGTGAACACAGAGCATTTGAATGCCTTTGAAATGAAATGAATGAATAAATAAACAAATAATCTCTCATGGTTTCCTTAAGCTCTTCCTTGAAATGCTGATGGATTCTTTTATTCCTTTTAGCCCTTGTTATAAGAATAAAAACACCCAAGTCTTCCCTGTTTCCCCAGGGTTAGCACCGTTTGCTAAGGTGTGGGTGGGAGTGCGGAGAATAGGCGGAGAACAGACGTGGGGCTGTTTGGTTCATTTGCTCACCCCTCTCTTCTCCTCCCTGGAGGCTCCTGGCTTCAGGCATCTCTGTTCCTGTCACAGAATCCAGAGAAGGGGCGCTTTCCTCCTGCCTTCTCCTAGTCAGGGTTCCTCCAGGCAGGAGGAGAAACCATGGCTACCACAGTGGGTGTGCAGCCCCAGGCTGAGGAGGGTGGGAGGCCTCCTCTCTGTCTCCAATTAAACCGCTTCCAATTATTTCTGATTTAGTACCCGGGAAGCCCGGCTTCAAACCTGAAGAAGGCTGAGGCTCACGTTTTGTGACTTGATGAGAGCCACTTTTAACATCTGGTGAATGGGCTCCATGATCAGCCCTCCAGCCAAAAGGCCAAGTGAAACAGGAGCAGGCCCTCAGCCTCCCTCTGACTCATGGGTCTCTTCCACGAACGGCAGTCCACCCTCCTCTCTGAAGAGGGCCGGGGGGCTGAGTGCGTGCGTGGGAGTGGTGATCCTCCAGCCTGACCCCCTGGTGCTGTGTCCCTGCAGATTCACCTACACCCTGGGCGAGGGCATGTGGCTGCCCCTGAGCAAGAGCTTTGTGATCCCGCCAGCAGAACTGGCCATCAATCCCTCCGCCAAGTGTAAGACCGACATGACCGTGATGGAGGATGCGGTGGAGGTCAGGTGGGTCTGGCTTCAGGGTGCGGACGGAGGGCCCGCCCTTGGCCTGGGAGGCAGAGTGACAAGTGACCTGAAGGTTCTAGGTGCTGGGAAAGAAGGCACCGCAAGCCGAAAGGAGAGGTTGGCAGGTTGCCTTTAAATTCCCCGCACGTGGTGCCAAGATCTGCTCTTTATCTGGGTCAATATTGCACACCCCAAGGCTCATTCACTGGAAGAAGTCATAAAATTAGAGTTTGTAAGCACTTCCCACATACCCCAAGGACTGACAGGCAATAAAATGTTAATGTCCTTGCCTAAGTTTAGACTTCCTTCTTTGACCAGGCGTAGCTTTGGCTCATTTCCCAGATGTGGAAAATGCCCATCATTTGTGAGTTCAGGCCTCCTTGTGTGGTTGATCTTTAGTTTTATAAGAGCAAAGCCAGGCTTGGTCCAGTTGACCAGTAGGAGACGGAAGGTAGCACCACCGTGGCTCCTAGAAGCCCCTTGACTCCCACTCTTTCTCCCTGCAGAGAGGAGCTGATGACCTCATCCTCCTTTGACAGCCTGGAAGTTCTCTTAGACTCCTTTGGGCCAGTGCGAGACTGCAGCAAAGATAACGGGGGCTGCAGTAAGAACTTCCGCTGCATTTCCGATCGCAAGTTGGACTCCACTGGTTGCGTGGTATGTCTGTCCTGTTTGGAGGGCGGGGAGGGAAGGCACAGGGTGAGCACAAGGCAGAGGGACACACAGAGGACAATGTGCTGTGACCCCAGTGGTAACCACCACCTAGTGCAGGTTCGGAATTTTCTCTTGATAGGGCTGAGGAGCTAAGCTAGTATTTAAGAAGTCCTTAGGGAGCACTTACGATGTGTTCTCTCCAGGGGGAAATTCCTCAAATTGTATAGCACCCTTCTCTCCAGTCTTATAAAATAGTTGGTGAGAACTAATTGCTTTTGTATAACATCGATTCCAAATATAACAGGAGATGTCTGGAGAGACCTACCTACAGGTAGAGCAATGAGATGAATAAGTCATGCCAGAAATGGTAGAGAAAAATATAAATAAAAATGTCCGAAACCCCAACAGTGACGTGCTACTTCTCCACAGCGGGTTTCTGCTTTGTTTTCAGCTCTGCGGACTTTGGCTATCCTTAAAAATGGGATGCCGTTCTCTGGTAGGACTGTTTGGGCTGGAGTAGACCAAGCTCTCTGCGGGCATGAATATGAAGACTGTACTGACCATGCTGGCAGATGAGGCAGGACAGAGGAGGCCATGCAGCCTGGTTCCTTGCTGTTGGTGGCTCTCACCCATCGACACGCTGATCTGTGTCCAGCCCCACCTCCAGGGAGGAGAGGGATCAGGACAGCGATAGCAAGGAAGACACACCAAGGGGAACGGGGGAGGGAGAGTCCCTGTGCCCCGCCTCGCTCCAACCTGGCAGCCGTGCTGTGAGGGGACCCAGAGCTGGGGAAGCTGTGAGGACCTTGAGTAGCTGCCATCGTCACCCATCTCTAGCGCCTGCTCTGCTCAGGGAGCTGCTCCTTATCAAAGACGAATATGAACCTGGCCTCTGGGGTGGAGGTGTCCCAGCCCTGAGGCTCCCCAGACTGTTGCCACGTCCCAGCCCTGATTCCCCCAGAGGGAGAGAGCATGATGGAGGGAAGGGAAAGAGAGAGCCGTGGGCTGGGAGGAGAAGCCAGCAGGTGAACCTAGGAAGGGCCAAGAGCAGAGGCCTCTCAGGAAAAAGATCAGAAATCGTGCTTGCTAGGTCATGTCTTCTTCCCGGGCAGCCAGGAGGTGAGCTGGTGTCCCACAGGGAGCCCACCCTGGGCAGGTCCTCAGCCTGTTAAGCAATGAGCGCTCCAACCTGTGGGGTCCCTCGGAGATGCTTTTCACTGTCTGATGGGACTCTGCCTTTCTTCATCCAGACTTCCACCTTTCTTCCTAATTGCTCTCTGGAGTCATTCTAAGTGCTTTCTGGGCACATGCAGGCTCCTCCCACACCACTCGCATAGGTGTTTAAGCATGCACTACACACACACACGCACACACACACATGCACACGCACACACACACGTGCACACACGCACACAGGCACACACACACACATGCACACACACATGCACACATGCACACACGCACACACATGCATACACAGGTGGGTTCTTCCTCTCTTGCTACTTCTTTGCCCGGCCCTGGCCCCTCGGGGTGTTTGCCTGTAAGCCCTCCTCTGGTGCTGATCCTAGCCCCTTTCACTTGGCGTACAGTTGAGCGGATGGAGTTCTGCACTTTCCCCACTGATCTGCGAGACGGACTAGCAGGAATAGTTCTGATGAATATGCATTCGAGATAAAGCTGCTGCATTTTAGAATTGGAGCCGCTGCAGAAAGTCACTCAATTACACCAGTATTTGGCATTTGCATAATACTTTGAAGTCACCAGTCCACGTGGCTCCGGAAGAAGAAGCGTGGTTGATTGGTGGACGTGTTCCATTTGGCTCCTCATTGGCCGCGATGCGGATGGTCCCTGAGGCAGGACGGATGCACTGAGAGCTGATGTGCTTATGACCCTACTGAGAAGAAGATGAGGGACTTGACCTTGAGCCTGACCCCACTGGGCATCACACTGTCCTCAGGCCTGGTGTGTTAGTGGAGGAAGTCCCTTGTCATTAGAGCTAGACCCCGGCTAAGTCTGGCCTCCTTGCCCCTGTCCACATAGACTCTTCCGTCCAGTCCTGGGTGCTGCTCTGAAAGGCTTCCCAGGAAAAGCATCTTTTATCCTTTCTTGAAAGGAGAAAGAGACGAGGAATGAGAGATGCTGACTCTTCAGGAACCTGGGGAGGGGCAGGTGTCGGAAGGCAAACAGGAGCACACCTGGATGTTTCTCTGACTTATTTCAGACCGGACAGGTGGGATTCGTGCTGGGTGTACAGGGGCTGCTTCCCTTCTTTCCAGGAGAGGGGGCATGTTTTGGTTATGCATGGGCTTCCACAGGGTTCACTGGTGCCCAGTTAATCGCCCTGTGGCTTATATAGCCTTTGAGGACAGGAACCAAACACCCATGAAAATACAGTCTGTATAAACCATGATTGCTCCATTACAAATCAAGTGCTCTCTAAGAGCTGGGGACCTCGGAAGCTCCAGGAGCGTCCCCAGAGCCTGGCTCACTGCCACTGCTGGTGACCAAATCTTACCCATTGTTTTTAATGTTCCAGATGGGCCATGGTCCCCACCCATGAGGCCCAGAGCAGCAGTTCTGTGTTCTATAGAGCCCCAGGGGGCCCTTCAAGGGCGCTGTATTATCATATTCCTGCTTGAACGATTGCAAGAATTTTAGTGACTTAAAGCTCCACAACTTTAGCATCTTACAGCTCTGAGGATGAGACTCCCCTGTGGCTCTCACTGGGCTAATATCAAGGGTCACCAGGGCTGTCTTCATTGCAGGAAGATCTAGGGGGCAACCTACCCCTGTGCCTTGTCCACCCTCTGGAGCCCCCCCACCTTGCTCTGCTCACGGCCTGCCACTCCATCTTAGGGTCAGCGGCACTGCCTTTCCCTGACTGCTCTTCTGAAACGTGTCTCCTTCTCTCTCCCCTACTCTGCCTCCCTCTTCCACTTCTAAGAGCCCAGAATAATCCCCGCATTTCAAGATCCTTAACCTAACCACATCTGCCAACTCCCTTTTGCCGTGAAAGGTGATATGATCACAGGTTTCTGAGATGGTGCTAGAGATCAATCTGGGGAACCCTCTGCAGTGGGTGGCAGGGGTTGGAGTAGGTTGGTAGATGGCACTCCCCACTCCCAGCTTTAAATGGGTATCTTCATTTGGGTGTCTTCATTGTTTAATATTTGTTTTAATTAGTTATACCATGCAGTAGAAGCACTTTGATACATCATATATAATGGAATATAAGTTCTCTTTCTTCTTGTTGGCCCTATAGTTATATATAGGGTAACAATGTCTCATCAGTCTACCACCCTTCCTACCCCCATACCCCCTCCCCTGCCTTCAATCCCCTCTATCTGATCCAAAGTAACTCTGTTTTCCCCTAGCCCCACACCCACCGTGAATTAGCACCCACATATGAGAGACATCATTTGGCCTTTGGTCTGGGGGCTTGGCTTATTTCACCGAGCGTGACGGGTGTCTCCAGCCGTACCCAGCCTGCCATTGAGGTGCACTGGGAAACTTGGTTTGAAAGTCTGGAAATGATTTCCTGTGCTAGCCCAATAAAAGACAAAGAGGAACGCAAGGCCGTGTTCCTCATGCTCCTTCCTCATCTTCTCACTCAGCCTGAAAGTGTCCAAACTTAAAAAAAAAAAAAAAAAAAAAGCCTTTTCTTTGTAAGATGTGGGGACATGCTTGATGGCAGGCCGTGTCCTTGACCAGGCCAGGGTGGGGGTGGGGGTCGGAGGATGCGCTGTCCTGGGTGTGGACCTTCCTGGCCACAGCACTGGGCTCTAATGAGCTTTGAATTACCCAGTGACCTGCTGCCCTTCCCTCCACATGTTGTCCACGGTGGCTGCCCACAGACTGTATCATTTCACCTTTCCCAGGGCACAGATGTGAGCAGGCCATTACCGATCTCCCACCCGCCCCCTCTCTCTCTGACAGTAAGCAGTTAGCCTCAGAGCCTTCTAGAGAACTGGGGGACAGGAGCTGTCCCAGCCTGACACAGACCTTGAACTCCATCAGACTTTTCCCCTTGGGAGAAGTGTGACAAGGCTTGGGCCTTCTCGTCAGAGAGTTGGGAAGATCACTATTTGTGGAAGGAATAAGATTGCCAGCCAGTAAGAGGGAGCCTCTGTTGGTGGGACTGGGGCTGCGTGTTTGATGGACACGCAGGTAAGGTGCTGCAGGAATCAGTCCCTCTCCTCCCAGGGGCCGCTAACAGGCTCCCTGCCATCACTCACAGTCACCGCCAACAGCACCCGCTCGGTCACCTGGCGCTGAGGTGTGTGTGTCTTAGGCTCAGGAAGATCCCACCAGCCTCCTCGGTGATCAATCAACCAAAATCATCAGTAGGAAAAGAAGGAAAAGAGGGCAAGGAAAAAGAGTTGAATGGGGAAAACCATTTCAATCTCATTAGCAAATTATGCCTTCGACCAGTGATAAGTCAAGAAGCTGTGAGCATCTCATGGAAGATGATTAACCTTGTGTATTTTAGAGGTCACAGGAATATGAGCTCATTTATCAGGACTTCTTGAGGGAGGGCTGTTGTCCTAATGAATGGAGTTTTCTTCTTAAGCCTGGAGTTGATAAAATCCCTGGGACGGCTGGATATAACCCATGCAGAGAGCGGTTAATATATGACTTTAGGGTCTCTCTCCTGACCAACAGTGCTCTCTCAAGGAACACGTGGAGGGACTGTCCACAGCCAGGGTGAGAGAACCGCCAGTCCTTGCAAACAGATAATCCAAGCTCCTCCTGGAGGCAGGATTTGCTCTGACCACTAGGCTCTGCCTGCAGTGACTTCTAGGAAGAGGGGCCTGGTTTGGAGACGTTAGCTTCTTCATATTTATAGAGTCTGAGGAAACCACGAATGTAAGTATAACAGCAGAAGGAAGATTCACCAAAAAAAAAAAAAAAAAACCCACAAAACCCAAAAATGTATACCATGGGAAGGTTGATAGAGTAACTCCTTGCAGAGGGGGTCCTCTGATTCCAAGGGTTAAGAAGGAAACTCTACTTCTGCTTCCGCCCTTTTTCCCCTGGAAAGTCTTACTCTGAACTGTAACCCCAGTCTGTTATGAAGGTGCAGTAAAGGTAACTTGTATGGCCTTCAACACCATCACCCTGGACAGTTCATAGTGTTTTGCCCTAAAATATTTGCACCCATATATACATATGTGTGTGTGTGTGTGTGTGTGTGTGTGTGTGTATATATACATATATATATATATATATATATATATATATAGAGAGAGAGAGAGAGAGAGAGAGAGATCATGTGCACTCACCTGTGACAAGAGTGACAAAGACAAAGAATATTGGGTTGACTTGAGAATATGTTCCAGGAACTGCTTAAAACAGTGAAGCAACAAACCCACAGGGTTAATCTACCTGGTTGACACATTGGCTTTATTTCTTTATCTCACCTGGGAAGCAGGATGGATGAATGGAAGATGACACATGCAAGTTCTGGGGTCAGACAGACCCTGGCCCAGAGTCTGCTTTGCCATGTTCCACCACTGGGACCATAAACAAGCGACTTAGTCTTCCCGAGTCTAATTTGGCTCATCTGTAAAATGGGGAAGACAGAGAATACCTGTGTCGTTGGGACTGAAGATAATAGATGTAGGTAAAAGAATTGCTTGATTCTGGAAAGCTGTGATTGTTACTTTTAGCTTTGTTTATGAGGAATATATATATATATCCAGCTTGTGCAAGGCAGCTTACACTGACTTCTCTCCAAATCTCCTGAAAGACCATGAATATCAGGTGGTCCTCTAGGCACTAGGGCCAGGCAAGAAGTGGACTTGCCAGGTTCAGAATTCTGGAACAAAGCCTCCAGCTCATGTTTCATTCAGTGAAGTATTTGTCAAAAACCACGCTTGATGGAGCATTCTGGACAAAGGCAGGTGGTGGGGAAGATGGGGAGTCCTGGCTGGTGGCTGAGGTAGCTGGCTGGTGAGAGGTTGAGCCATGTGAGGTGGAAGAAGAGGAGACGGGCTAGACGGGCTTCATCTCTGCATGGTGATGGCTTCTGGCAAGCTTAGTGGAAGGAAAAAGCAAAAACAGAACTCGGTGGCTACCTGGGCAGCCCATTTAATTCCATTCGAACTCCTTGTTTCTATCCCAGAATCCAGAATCCATGCCTGGACAGCCAGGAAGTGCTGAAGCCAGCTCCCTTCTGGTGACACATCTGGCCTAACAGCTGGGTGGCCAAGGAACTTGATGGGTGGAGGGGCTGGCGGACCTGGGGTGTGAGCCCCAGCTGTCTCTTTGCTTGTTTACCATCATCAGGAACATCTGGGTTCCCACAGCAGGGGGCAGACCTTGGAAACTTCTTTAAATACTGTGGCCTTCCAGCACTCCAGCTGCCTCCAAGGGGGGAGAGGGGAAGAGCCAGGCTGGGGGTCTGGCAGGCCCACAGGGGGTCATTTGTTTGGTAAATTGCAGAATTAGTGTCAGCAAACAGTGCACATCCTGCTGTGATCTTTGACTGGGAAAGGAAGGGGAGAGATGGGTTTGCAGAGGCTCCTCCACAGCAGCTCTAGACCAGCAAGATGAGGTGCTTGGCTGCCAAGAGAAAGAGCAAGCCGTAGCAGGGAGGAAGGGAGGTGTTTCACACTGTTCCACCAAGTTCTGAAAGTTTTGCTTGGGTTTGGTTTTGGTGAAGTGTTTGTCACTAACAGTGTGTGTGTGACACAGTCATTAAAAGCCCAACCTCCAGAGTCCAAGATGCACAGATCCCCAGCTCCCCACCCACTCCAGCTGCTTGAGCCTGGGCAAGTCATCCCCTCCTCCCAGCCTGTTAGAAAGGGCCAGCGCTAGTGTAAATGTGCAGACCATGTTGCACAGGAGGAGAAGCAGGATGGCAAAAGAGTCATCAGTTTAAAAGGAGCCCAGTGCGAGGAGGGGTTCACGGATTAACTGGCAGTGTTAATGGTCTCCTTATCTTTAAATGGGGATAATGCAGGGTGTTGTGAGATAAAATGCCTCAAGTCCTCAGCACAGTGACAGGTGGGTTCCTCCTTAGTGTTCAGGAAACAGTGTGGAGTCACAGACTGACCAGCCCTCAGGACTCCTAGGAAGCCTGCCAGGGGCTCAAGAGTGGCCCTGTCATGAGCAGCTGTGTGACCTTAAGGGAGCTAAGTCCCCGGTGCCTCGGTTTCCTCACAGGTCCAATGGGGTGGCCCCAATTCTTGCCTCCAGGGCATCATGGGGATTAAGTGGGTGAGCGAGGCAGCCCCCGGGCTTTCCTGGGGTCTGGCGTCTTCTCTGGGATTTTCTTGGTGGCTTTCATTCTTGGGGAGTTTTTTAAGGGTGAAGTCGTACAAGGAGGTCACCGTTTCACATCATGAGAATGTGGCTCAAAACCAAGTACAGCACCCTTGAGTGCTGCTGTGGCCGGGGCCCTGGTTTGTGTGCCTTTCAGTGGGCCTCCATGGTGTAGGAAGGGGAGGAGTATGAGAGCAGGCAAAGCCCCCCCCCCAAGGTCCCAGGGAAAGCCACTCCCCACTTCAGGCTGGAAGCCCTGGCTCTGCCCATTGCCTCCTACTCTATGGGGTGGTACCCACACTGAGAAAGTGCTTTGGACATTGAGAAAGTTATCTTAACCTGAGTCCAAACAACAGCACTCCCTTCCCCTCACCCAAAGGAATGCCTTCAAAGACTTTTTTTTTTTTTTTTAGCCTCTGGACTATCTTTTCCACTCTTCTGTGTGGAATGGGGACACCACGTTCCCCGACTCTGTCTTACTATAGAGCACCCTTCCAGCCTATTCAGAGGATGCAGCCTTAATGCAACGTGTATGATCTATGCCCAGAGAGAAGCAAGATGTCAAAAAAGGCTATTTGCTTTTAAGTGGAGTCTAGGCAGAGGAGAAGTCACGGATTGCTTGCCAGTGTTAAGAGTTTCCAGGCAAAGTGCTAAAAGTAGGTGTCAGTGGTGATGTTCCAGAAGAGAACCCCGTCCCTGACTCTCCCACCTGTGTGGATGCTTTCTGATTGTGCCAGTGCCCAGCCGGACTCAGCCCCATGAAGGACAGCTCGGGCTGCTATGACCGCCACATCGGGGTGGACTGCTCAGATGGCTTCAATGGCGGCTGTGAGCAGCTGTGTCTCCAGCAGATGGCGCCCTTCCCGGACGACCCCACCCTGTACAACATCCTCATGTTCTGCGGGTGAGTGGAGCTGCCCGGAGGCTGGCCAAGGTGCGAGGCCTTCAGAGCCTAACCCTAAAGTCCTTGTGAATGACTTGCCACCCACAGCCAGCCCTCGGGCTGTTCAGGAGGGAGCATCTCTAGAGTCTGGGTTGGGAGGATCCTTGGGCAAGTCCCAAAGTGTGGGAGCCCAGCCCCGATTACCTGCAAGGGCCAATTAGCTACACAGTTCCCTTAAATCATCGCCTGATTAAGCCAGAATGTTCCAGTGTGTTTTGTGGAACTATGTTAATGAAGGCTTTGTGACAAAAAGCATTCCATGATCTAAAACTTGGGAAAGATTGCATGAAACTGATTAATTATCAAAGGAGTAGCCGAAGCTTCTCCAGACTCAGTTCCCGAGGCCCCACGTTTGTGTCTAGCCCTCCTCGGTGACGCAGTTCCCCCATGTAGGCCCTTTATGGTGGGTCCCTCTCACCCACTCGCTCCTTAAGCTGGCAGGAGATCTCTGTGAGGGAACAGGGCGGGCAAGGCCAGCTCATTCCACAGATGAGGAAACTAAAGCCCGTGGGGTTGTCTCTCCCAAGACCAGGGACTTGGTGAGTAGGAAGATTAAGATCAGATTCCAGGCCCTCTCTGATGTTTTTAAAAAAAATTCTGCGATTTTTCTCAAAACTTAAATCTATATCACTGAGTGGAATTATATTTAAAGACATTTTCATGCTATATTTATAAAGTAAATAGATTAGCACATTCTGGTCTACCCATGGTTTTCTTGCCTCCCTCTCCTCTCTTTCTTCCTCCAAGTCAGGCAGAGTGCTTACTCTATGCCAAATACCATGCCGGCCACCGGGCTGCAAAGAGGAGTGAGTAACATGGAGTTTTTACCCTCCAACAGCTTGCAATGAAGATCAAGGCTGGGTGCGGTGATGCCCACCTGTAATCCCAGAAACTGGGGAGACCGAGGCAGGAGGATTGCAGTTTCAACACCAGCCTCAGCAACTTAGTGAGACTCTAAGCCACTTAGTGAGACTGTACCTCAAAAAAAAATTAAAAAAAAAATAAAAATTTAAAAAGGCTGAGGATATGGCTCAGTAGTAAAGCACCCCTGAGTTCAATCCCCAGTAACAACAACAAAAAAGGTGTTTATAGTAATAAAACTCGCTAGTTGTTCTAGAAGGCAGTGCCCGCTGAATAATTGTTCAGTGGAGTTATCACGTTGTTTTATTGTATTTTGTTTTTTATTTCTTCACAACTGAGTAATTTCCATATTTAGTTTCTTGTAAAAGCTCATTCCATAAATAGCAAGTTGCTCTAAACTTTAATGTTCTTTATAATAACTAGGGCTGACCCACTTCAATTTATAGAAGTCAACTCAGGCAGAGTTCCTCCCCTTTTTGTTTAACAAATGCGTCCTTGGGCACCTCCTGGTGCAGGGAACCTGGCGGGTGCTCCAAGGTGAGAAGCATCTGGAGCAGCTCCGCTCTCTCCCTGGAGGGGTCTTCAGTGGGACTCACAACTGGGGGGAGGGGGAAGGGGTCCTGAGGGAGGGGAAGCTGTCCGGAGGTTGAGCGTGGGCTGGAGGGGAACCAGCCGACTTCAAAATCTTTCCCAGAAACTCCGTTTATGTACCAATCGAGGAAGGAGCCGATTCACCATTTCCAATGTCCCCGCTCCCAGGCTGCGCTGGAGCCCGGGAATCCTGGAGGAGGGGTCTGAAGGGTCTGTCTCCTGGACTAAGGTGGTGGGCCTCTAGGTGGAGTTTCTTTCCTTTCTTAATCAGATTTAGGCACATGTGTGTGGAGCACTCTCCAAATACTTATATTTTTATATAAAAGACCAGATCACATAGACTTACAGTTAAAGAACTCTGCTCACACCTGCTCACACAAATATGTAAATGATAAATGGGAAAAACTGGCGGTTGAATCACAGGCCTCCTTGGCACCTTTGCTGCTAATAATAGCAACATACAGAGAGTACTAGCTATATATAGGGCTGTGTTCTGAATGTCAAGTGTCTTGGAGCTCAGAGAGGTTACTGAACTGGTTTAAGATTACCAGTGAAGAAGACGCTCATTGCTGTTATGATATGGCTTCTCACTACTTGAAACTACGATCATTTGTCGTTCTACATAGGTCAGAGGTCTTTATATTATTACAACAATTACTGTATATAGTGATAAAGGGTGTTTTAACATCGTGAGCACCTTTAAAGTCTAAATCTGTAATATTTTTAAGGAGAGAACCAAATGAAATCAACATTGTTTTCATTGACAGCTTTATCAAAGAAGTAGTTCTCACCCACCTGAGCTAACAAATGCATGTTCTTTATAATGTAACTACAAGTAAGGTCAAATGATGATTTATGAGTCATTGACCCATGTTTACCAAATTACTATTGCTTTTCCATGACAGTAGCTGTACATTCATGGGGGGCGGGCACCCGGAGGCTGTTCACGGTTCAGGGTGCATGGTGTAGATGCCCTGCATCTCTTTAGTTCAGGGTGGGTACTCGGGATGGAGGAGGAGTTGGTGTGGGATGATCCTGTGTTTGGAGACATTTCTGAGTTGACTCATCACAGGACCAGATTAGAAAGCAATTAATTTCTTAAGTACGGTGTTGTTCCTTTTGCTGCCTAAGGACTCTCCCAACAAATATAGAACCTGGTTGTACAGAGGGCTTGTGAGAAAAACTCTACCATATCTTGGATTTAAATGGTTAACTCATATTTACAAATTTTTCTCCAATGATTCTTATCCTGCCTTGTTTGAGAAATCAGCTGACTCTTAGGAAAGAGAGCACTCCAAAGTTCTGAGAGACCTAACTTTAAAGGAAAAGTAGGAAATTTGGTATGATCACATTTTGGAGAGAGCCTCTATCTACAGGCTTAAGAAACTCCGTTATAAAGGGGTCAGAAGTGAATTGGGGTATTCCTGATCTTTGGCCATTCCAATTCTCTCAAAGGCCTCTCCTCCGGATTCGTTGAGCGGATTGCCAGCGTCGCTCATTGATGGACTAACTTCTTATCTTGAGTTCTCCGCCATGTTAGGTGCATCGAGGACTACAAGCTTGGTGTGGATGGACGCTCTTGCCAGCTCATCACGGAGACCTGCCCAGAGGGAGGTGACTGTGGAGAGAGCAGGGAGCTTCCCATGAACCAGACTCTCTTTGGGGAGATGTTCTTTGGTTACAATAACCATTCCAAAGAAGTAGCCACTGGACAGGTGCTGAAAGGAACATTCAGGTGAGCCTCATGTCCACCTGACACTCTGTGATTATTCAGGGCTGTTGGTGGGGCTTTTTCTCTGAATTGCTTTATATGCAACCTAAAGTTCTGTATCTTGGAGCAAGGCAAATGTAAGGTGAGGGAGGGGTTAGGTCCTTCTCTCACCTTTGTGCTTCTCTAAGGTGACATTCTTCAAGAATCCAAGAACTATGCTTCCTCTGGGTGAACAGTAAAGTATAAGTGAGATTTTGCCTTGCTCAGGCGAGGGCTGCAAGGTTTTATAAGAAAGCTACCCCCAAATGCCCCACGTTCCATCTTCCCTCCGAACAGAAGACTCAGCATGTGAGCTGGTCTAGAAAAGCTGTCCCCAGAGTGGGAGCCAAGGACCCCTGGGGTCCCTGAACCCCTGCGGACCCTCCTGCCTTTTCCAGCTGCAGAAAGGCTGCATATTCTTCTCATACTTAAACTCAAACGATACGTTGCCATGAATGGGATTTGATGATGAGAAACTGGTTGCCTTTTATTGAGTCAGACATTCTAGAAACTTGCAACAAATGTTCAAGAATGTCCCACCTATCATTAATATTCAATAGACTTATTACTGTGTTTTTTAATCGAATTAATTTTTAGGATTCTATTTTAATTTCTCATACAGAAAATAGTGATAGATGTAATTAGAGGTTTCTTAAAGCTACTTGGGAACTTCAATTATTTCTACAAGCATAAAGGAATCCCGAGAACAAAATACTGTAAATAATTTAGTTGGAATGTCTTGAGAAGATTCTTGGTTTGACCTCTGTCCATATTCTGCCTCGGCTATGGGAATGCCTCTTCTTCAGATCCCACGGGGAATTGCTGTCCAGGAGATGACGGGGACAGGGATGATGGGGACGATGGTGCTGTCATTGTCATAATATGGATCAGCAAGGGAGCAACCTAGGTCTAAACTCTTACAAACAAACTGAGAGGAAATTTCCAAACTAGTTCTCAGAACTGTTATGTGTAGGGACTTCACAAGTGTTTCCCATGTTGGTCTGGGAGCGGTTTGTCAAAGACAAGAAATACGGCTGGAGTCTTCACCATGGTGAAGAAATGAGACCCAGTGTGCCCAGGGCCTGTTGAGAGCGGGCAGGACTGGGATGAGAGGCAGGGAGGAATATTTCCTACCCTTTGCAGAGTAAATGAGGCTCAGGGTGAGGGAAACTTGTTGGTCCAAAGAGAATTTTTACGTTTGTGTTGAAATAAAGATGCCCCACTCGGGGCCGGTCCACCTGACACTCGGAAATGAACGTACACCCTGTTTCTAGGCAAAACAACTTTGCTCGTGGTATAGACCAGCAACTGCCAGATGGGCTTGTGGTGGCCACTGTCCCCTTGGAGAATCAGTGCTTAGAGGAGATCTCCGAGCCCACCCCGGACCCCGACTTCCTGACTGGTGAGTGTGCCTTCCCTCAGCCAGCAAGACCCGGCAGCTGGGCGGCTTCAGAAATCAAGACTCCACCTTGCTATTTTGGTTTCTGTGGTATATGAAGAATGCTCAGTTATTCAACTGAACCCTGTTAGGATCATCCGTATTATCGTGTACTCACCTGCAGAATGCTTGTCCTGAGACCTTTGCCTGCTAAGGATGCTCTGAAAACAGATGAGATCATGGATGCACAGCGTCAGAGGTTTGGGTGGGACAAGCGGAAATACCCAGGTCACAGAGGCAGAGAGAGGAGCCAGACTGTGACTGCCACCTCAGTATCTGTCATGGCTGCTGCGGGGTCCTGGGGAGACTTACGGAGCAGTACCAGGAAATGGAAAATGATGGAGTCTGCTGTCAGCTGACCCTGGGTTTGGATCCTGTGCTGCTTTCAGGCTGGGTGACTGTGACGTTAGACAGCACCTGGCCCTCGGGGTGCCTTGTCCTGAGATGGGGATGGGGACATCTGGGCCTCTGTGCTGCTCTGCGCCCTTGGGGAACGCGGTGTGGGCGATCAGGAGAACGAGAGCGCAGGGTATGCTTCTCCTTCCTGCCCCTGGGAAGCCTGAGGTGGCACCTCCTGGCAGGTGACCCACAGCTGCACCTAGGATTGAGCATCACCTGCTAGAAGACACTGCTGGCCGGGTCCACTCCTCCATCGCCCAGTCCCTAGCTCATTCTTAATTCCTTACTCTGTGCCCTCCTCCCTTTTCTTTTCCCTTTTCTGAAGAGTGGACTGGGCTGAAGGTAAGCCTCCTGCAGACATCCAGTTATGTTTCCAACTTCAGACCTGACAGGCATTGAGGTAGGTCTACCAGAGGCAGTCCTGCATGGTGATTAACAGGGTGGGCTCCAGAGCCCAACACCCTGCCACAATTCCTCATTGGCTGTGTGATCTGGAAAAGTTTCTTAACTTCTCTGTGTCTCAATTTCCAATAGGTATTATAATTTTTTTCTTAAGGATTGATATAAAGAATAAACAAATTAATATTACTAAAGTTCTTAGAACCGTTCCTAACACATACCGAAATCTGGGTTAACTGAATCAATGTACTAAGAAAGAAAGAAATTAGTATCAAAATTACCAAATGGTTTCTTCTTCATTGGGAAAAAAAACTCAGAAAACAATATATTCTGGGCCAACCATACATATCTTCAAAAGATAAAAAGGCCATAAAAGACTAACACACACATGCACACATACATACACACATGAACACACACGCACACTCATGCACACACGCAGAAATTAAAATGTAGCCTCTGGACTGTCCCGAAGGCTCTGTCTATAGCATTAGGGAATCTTGTTTCCTGTTGGCACAGGGATAGCTGAGAAGCACCTCCCAGATGTGTGCAAGGCTTGTGCTGGGGTGTGAGGTGGCGCCTACAAACAGGGCAGGTCTATGCCACTACAAACCACTTGCCTCTGCCCCGACCTCCAGCACCCTCCCTCACACCGGATGCCTTATTGGCAGAGGGCAGATTGCAGCTCATTTATCAGGCCAGGAGGATGCCCGGGTGGTTCTGGACACTCCCTGGAGCTCTCCAGGAGGGGCCAGTAGATCAAAGAACAAACTTGGCTCTGCTACTTGGGGAATAAGGAAGAGACCCCCAAATTTGTTCTCCTTCCCAAAGAAAATTCCTTCTCCCCGTGCCCTCGGGTCTCTCCTAACATTTCTTACTGCAGTGGGAGGGGGATGTCCAGAGGGGACCCTGCCTTCTTTCTTGGTCCCGCGGCAGTGAAGTGCAGCACTCCTAACAGCCAGGTGGGGGCTCCTCCGGACCCTGCTGCTGTTCTATGAGTCTCTGCCTTTAGCCTATTTTGGTCAAGACGTGGTACCACGTTGGCTAAGAGCATGCCTTTCCTTTGGCATAAGCAGGGGACACGCTTGTTTTTAAATACAAGAATGACTCGAAGGATTGATGACGGAAAGGGCTGGCCAAATTTCTTTGATATCATCTTTCTAGTTCTAAAGTCATATTTTAATTGTAACTTTCCTGAAAGGCATACAATGGATCCTGTGTCATTTCACACCCTATTATTATAGGTCATAGTTCCCATAAACCTACAAGCTTGAAGATTTTAAAGCTAAAGTGAGCTTCAGAATCGTCTATAACAGCATCTGCAAGCATTTTTGCTTTGTTTTGTTTTCCAGGAAAAACCCCAGCTCCATTCACAAATGGGCCTGCCTTCAAATATGTTTGGAAAGACCCTCTTCCTCTTAGCAACTTGTATCCCCTTAGCTTTAGAAAGAGATTCCTGCAGGAAAAACATCCCTTTCACATTTATCTAACCTAGAAATTCCCAGACCTCCTTGATTAGAGAGTTCTTTTCATGGACAACCTCTGTTTCCATCCGGCAGAATCAGTTAAAGAACATACTGGAAAACACTGATGCCCGTGTCTCCCCTTCCTTCATCGACAATGCTTCAACACTCCGAGTTTCACGGACCTCTTCGTTGTTGCATTTTGTGTGGAAATAGGTGAAGGACACCAGATGGGAACTGGCGGTGCTATGTATTCTGAGCTGGCTAGGGCAGGGGACATGGTGCCATGGCTGGTGTTGTGGCAGAGACTCAAGGGCAGGCAGAGGTGTGGGGAGCCTTAGGTGGGAAGGGGACGGTTTCAGGTGGACTGGAAGCTGTTGGTGTGAGAAGCTGTAGGCAAGCTCTCTGGAAGGGACGTCCCTGACACTGATCAGGGGTGCGCGTTTGGCTGTCAGTGGTTGGACAGAGGGCGGGGGAGCGAGAGGTAGAGAAGCTGTGGGTTGTGACAGCTCTGGTGGTCTGAGTCGGTTGTTTCAGGAGATACTGTTGTGGTTTCTTTTCAGCTTGCTAGAAATGGTGGTGGGGCTTCCCACAAGTCTGCCTTGGGGACAGCAGATTGGCGTCCTGGGTGGGTTATTACAGAGAAGGGGGAGGTTTCCTGAGCTGATTGCCACAGATCATGGGTCTGGGTTTCGTTTTCATGTCTGTCTGTCTGGTTTTTGTCCATTTGTGAATTCAGCCTTTCAATGGAGCAAAAGGAGGGAGTGTGGAGATGGCTGAGGGAGGAGGTGGAGGCCTCTGCCCACCCACAGGCCACACCCACAGGCCACACCCACAGGCCACACCCACAGGCCACACCCTCAGGCCACACCCTCAGGCCACACCCTCAGGCCTGCTTGGGGCCATGGTCACTGGATCTATTTGAAGATGTGGAGCTCAGGTGCATTGGAACTGCTTCAGGTTCACTCAAGGGAAAAAGATTCTTGGCCTTAGCACTTTGGGCTCAGATGTACTCCTGATATTTCAATAACAAGAGAAAGCTAGTTTTCTCTTCTTCTTTATTTCCACAGCCTGACTTCCTTCTTTCCTTCCTTCCTTCCTTCCTTCCTTCCTTCCTTCCTTCCTTCCTTCCAAGAGTGCACTCAGGTCTGTTGAGTCATTAGGGAGAAAAAACAAATAATGTTCTTTCTTGCGAAAACATTGTGTTTGAGAAAAAGAGCCATTCAGCAGAAATGTGTCTCAAAATGATACTAAAATAAAATAAAACACTAAACCTGATGCAAGTCAAGGGCACCCTGAGAAACAATATGACTCAGCTAGAAAACACACACTTTAAAATGCCCCTTTCTTTTTAACTAATGGAAGTGTTATCTGTAAGTAGGGAGAGAAGCCTTTCCCCAGCACCAGCAGTTATGTAAGCGTCTCCCAGACCCAGTGCAGCCTAAGTGCGGCAGCCAAGTCCTGGAGTTGACTTGCTGGGCTCAGGCTGGGAGGATGTCGAGGGCTGGCATCCCCAGCCCACGCCTGGCCTTCCTCCATCCTCTTCCCCCTGTTCTGGACTGCCACCTCCGGAGTGATAACCAAAGCATCAGTTAAGAAGCGCCAGGTGTATACCGATGGAGGATGGCAAAGGGGAGGAGTGGGGGAGGGGGAGGAGAGGGAGGAGGAGGAAGGAAGGGAGGAAGGGGACATGGAGGCCATCCATGTGTGCAATGCCGCATCTTTTCTCTAAGTATTCTTGTGCCCATATGTCGGGAGCTGTCACATGGGAAACGAGCGCTCCTTAGCCTTGAGCAATGAGAGTGTGGAGAGATGGCAAGCCAGCCGTGGGCTGTGTGTGAGCTCTGAGCACTGAGCGCACAGGGTGGACTGAACCAACACTGCCCCTCTGTGTCTTTTTGCTGGCTCCGCCGGCCGTGATCCCCACACAGCACAAGAGACGGGCGTGGCCTACCCAGGTGTCAGTCAACCTGCTGACCGCAGACGTCAGAAACTAGACTCAACCCTCTGAAACCTGACCCCTTGCCTCCTCTGAATGGCTTCTCCCTAATAAAAGGGTTCATTCAGCATGTGCTCCTGGCTCTTTCTTGCCCACCTTGTCCCCCTTGTGGGAGCTGCAGCAGAGGAGTGGTCACTGAACCCAGAGAAAAGGTACTTTCTGTGTCTGTGTCTTTATTTAGTCCCCAAATTCACTTGGAGTGACCCTGACTGGTTTAGTCGTGAGACACGACACCCATAATTTCATTTTTGTCACAACCTACCTGTAAAGCAAATGGGATACATACTGTCACCCCCACTTTTCAGATATGAAAACTGAGGCAGACTAGAGTTGCCTAAAGTCACACAGCAGGTGGCCGTCACAGATTTGCAAAAGAAGCAAGGGATCATCTCAGCTAGTCTCTCAGTCCACAGACACAACAACTGGAACCAAAATACTCCCTTGGAGGCAGCAGAGAGAAGGGACTCTGGCTGTGAGGAGGACAGTCATTTAAACAATGACTGTCACCTGCACTGCCTCCTGCAGCCCCCGGCTCCTTCCTGTTGGTTTTCCACTGTGAAGCAATTCCGTTAAAGGGAGCTTTTCCCAAATAAGTTGAGAATCTTTATTTTTCGGACCCGCTGTTTTCTTTGTACATAGGCTTTTCAAATTAACAACAAAGCCACACGCCGACAGGCGAGAGGTGGTTCTGAAGGCCAGCCACATCTGACACCTGATGAAACGTACCTGGAAGGGATGTGACTGAAGTCTCCATTTGTAAAGTTAGAATTCCATTTGTATGCTTTTGAAGTTAACATGAAGGTTAAAAGCCAAAGTGTGTAGTCGCATGACTGGCATCGCAAAGCTTAGAGCCCTCAAAGAACATTCGAAAGAAAGTAACTGCTGAAAACCTCCTCTTAGTTTTAGGTAACTTATCTTTGATTACCTAATATGAAATTTAAGCAATTGATTCGCTGAGCACCTTTTCTGACCTTTTTTAATTTTTTTTTCTTACCAATAATTATTCCCATATGATTCAGACAGAAATGGAAATTTGGTAATTACTCATCTAATTTGATCAGGGTTGACAAGCAGCTAATTAATCCTGCCTACTCTTTATTCAGCTTAGGTATTAAATTAGTTGATTTTGCTTAAAGGAAGCATGGGTCAGAGTGGCAGAATAATTAACTATGCATGTATTATTATCATTGTAGTTATATACACGAACACTCCATATGCACTATGTGTTATCTGGTTTAATATAAATGAGTATATAGGTTTTATATATACTATGTACCAGCTTACTGTATATGTTTGTGTGTAAACACATACACAAATGCATACGTACATTCCTATAACTTACACATGTAGCAAACCTTAGGTATAGACATGAAGTTAAAATTGGTTCTCTAAACTTAGGTGTTTTTTTTTTAAATTTCCTGTGGCCTAATTATTTCGTTTCTCTAGCATATTATATTTATAGTAATGGCTAGAATTTAAACAGGGCGACATTCTTTCTCCAAAGCTCCCAAGGCAGAGCAGCCCATTAATAATATCTCTACAAGGTCGCAGAAAGGGCTTATTATTGAGAGTGACCTTGAACAACCAACTTAGCCTCTTGGACCCTCTGCCTCCCCATCAGCAAAAGGGGCACTGAAACTGCCTGAAACATCTCCTGGCACAGAGATGTCCCTTGGTGTTTGGCTATTCCTGTCCCCCTAATGATTCAGTCACCCGGATACTGTCCCTTCTGGCAAAGAAAAAAAAATGTGCTTTATCAGCCTCAGAGTAATTAAAACTTAAATACCAAACACAAATCAGTTAAATGAGACAGAAAAATCAATGTTATCAGATACGTAAGCTGAGTCGATTACTGCTACTATTAAAGACAGTAAAACCCTGTGTGTCGCAGTCAGCCTAGAGTTTAATATGAAGTCATTATGGGTGTTGTGCTAGAAGGAGTAGGGACCCTGGCTCTGGGCTCAGGCCATCTGGAACCCCATCCTGGCTTACCTTGTGTTTTAGGGACCTTATATAAACAACTTCAGTATCCTCATTTATAAAAAGGAAATAATAATAACACCCAAGTCACAATGATTCCCAAGTCACATCAACCAGCTTAATATATGCGAAGTGCTTAGCAAGATGCCTGGCACAGAGTAAAAGTTCCATAAATGATAGCTGTTGTCACTGCGACTCTAGAGATTCTCTTCATCAAAGAGCACTTGCTCATCTTCTCACAATTACAATCCCGAACCTAATGGAGTAGGGACTTGTGAGCCCATCTCAGGCACTGACCCCCGTCTCCTCTGTCCCCAGGGATGGTGAACTTCAGTGAAGTGTCTGGGTACCCCGTGCTGCAGCACTGGAAGGTCCGGTCGGTGATGTACCACATCAAACTCAACCAAGCGGCCGTCTCTCAGGGTAAGCCCCACAGCCAGCCCCCCACCCCCAACCCAGGGCTTAACCGGCTTTCCAGGGCACAACCTTCAGTCCCCTGTCCCCCCGAGTGCACTCTTGAGGACAAATGCCTGGAGTGAGGGCCTGGGCCAAGTCAGATCCAACGGCACGTTCCATCCTGGACTGGAGAAGAGACAGAGTGGACAGGCTGGGACCAGTGACAATTATTGTGTTCTCTGGGTCCCTCAGCACCTGCAGAGGGTATTTCAAAACTGCATGCTTTTCACAAACTGAGAAATACAACATTCCAAATGCAAAAAATATGATTTAAAATTCCATGTAATGACATGAGGAAAACAGGGTGAGAAGGGCTTAAGTTTCCTAAAGAGCGAGTGGGTGGGATAGAGAGATGGAGAGCAATAGAGAAATACAACCCTCTGCCGTAAACATCGTGTGTGGGACGCAGTTTTCCTTATGTATGGAGGTGATGTGAATTACACCTAGTAAGTTAAGGATCAGCGAGTTCTGAACTCATTTAGGATCTCAGGGTCGGCAGGCAGCAGGCGGGAGGTAGATGGAGCCTCAGGGCCATCAGGAGGAAGATGAATGGTACAGGACAAATGGAGGATCCTGACGAGCAACGAGACATGACACTTCCTAAATGAGAAGCACCACGCATTAAGGATCTAGAACCCTTCCACAGGGCACAAGAGAACTCAGAATTTTTTTCTTTCGAATTTGCAAGTATTCTTGGAGAGAAGGGATCAGGGTGAGGACGGTGATGAAGGAAGCTCCACAGGTGCAGAACATCTGGGAGGAACTGAGCCCCTCTTCATTCTGGGAAAACTCACAGTGAAAACTAAATCATCCACATACTCAGTCCCACACTGCACAGATGCTGTGCACACCAGGGCTGGATGTTTCTGTTGCCATAAGTGTTTTAAAGTCACATAATGGTGTCCCAAGTGATGTGCACTTGGCACCTGAGGTCTCCTGCCTGAGCTAGACTCCATCTTGCCCCCATGAAACACGTGTGGGGACTCAGAAGGTATTGGATTTGGAAACTTTACCGTAGGCTGTCTTTTATGATGAGTGCAATTCTCTTAAGGAACAGCAGAAAACAGAAGGAGCTTTGGCTGGGTGGACAGGAAGGAGGGTATTTTTTCCAGTGGTCATTTCCCGGTCCTTTTCCTTTGGATTTTCTGACATAAAATGTAAGCAGTGTGTTAGTGACTGCTCCTACGTTCTCCTTCCATTGTCTGCCCGTTGCCCATTTCCATGTCTAAAGGCAACGTTTTGCATACCTTTTTGGTCACTAGCAACAGTTAGGAGATGTTTTAGGTTGTGACCAGGTGCACACACACACCCTCTCTCACACATTCCAAGAAACAGTGCTTCATCTTACGAGGGGAAATGTTCTCTGCTAGTGTTTATGTTTCCATTCTAGACTTTGCTTTTCTTTCTCCTTCTTACAATGCTGTTATTTGAACAGATTACATTGATTTAATGTCCTGACCTGCAGAGTGTGTGGGGGAGACACATTTACTTAAGGGATATGGGAGAGGAAGTTTGGCCATGTTCTGCTTAACCTGCACCAACCAGCGGGTTTGAATAGGTGTCTGTCCAGGAGCTGAAGGGTCTGATTGGTCCCATGGAAACACCCGCTGGTGGTCCCAGCCAGCTCTCCACATCACTCTGGGCCGCAGTGGGGCTGAAGTGCCTGGGGGTCCTCACTCTCTCTTGGGCCATGTTCCTCCGCAGCCTTCAACAATGCCCTTCATTCCCTGGATGGGGCCACGTCTCGTGCGGACTTTGTGGCCTTGTTGGGCCAGTTTGGCAACCATTACATCCAGGAAGCTATCTACGGCTTTGAGGAGTCCTGTTCCATCTGGTACCCAAATAAGCAAGTCCAGCGGCGACTCTGGCTGGAGTACGAAGACATCAGTAAAGGTGAGTGGTGTGCGCTGTAGCAGCTACACCCCTGTAGGCGCTGGTGGCCTGGGCGCCGTCCCCACACCGCCCTCAAGGCGTCTGCAGAGGGAGCAGGAACCCAGATTTCCCTCAGTGTTCTCTTCCCACCCTCGGAATGTTGAAGGTTTGATGGCTAAAACCGAATCTCCAAATGAGAATGTTTGGAGGAATTGTAGATGCAGGACCATGTCGCAGCGTATGGTCACTGTGTTACCACGGAGGGACTCCGCTGAGGGATTTCACAGCCACCATCCGTTCACCATCTGTGAATGACTGAGTCATGGAAGAGGAGAGAGGAGGAAAATGTTCCCCCCCCCCCGCCTCCTGCTTCCAAGAACCCCCCACACGGCTGGACAGTCAGAGCAGCCACTCCTGAACCCCGCCTGTCCCGTGTTTGGGCTCATGCGTCCCGTTGACTCATGTTATGAGGAATTCTCCGCTGGCTTAGTGGTTACATGGCTCTGACTGACAGCGTCACAACCGACCTTGTCCGCTCTCTTAAGAGTTAACATTCAGTCTGAGTCACTACAAGAGTTGGAATGTCTGGAGCCTTTTGAACGCATCTTCTGGCCCATGCACTGGCCAGGCAGCTGGGGTCTGATCGCCCAGGACTGCTTCAGATCTGCCATTCATAGGCTTCCTCCTGGGCGGATCCACCTGGTCTTCCCGTGGTGCCAAGTTAGAGACAGGCAACTTGCAAAAGGGCACATGGTAGTTAGCCAAGGAAATTTAAGAAATGGATTGCCTTCCGGCTCAGGCACCAGGCTTTCTGAGAGTCAGGGGGCAAACGAGCTTCGACGGCTGGGGTGCTCCTGGTTCCGTGAGCGCCATCCTCAAGGGCTGGCACAGGCATCCCACCTCCCTCTAGCTCGGCCCTTCCTCCTAGACACAAGAGGTTTGTTCCTGGGCTGTGGTTGCTCAGGCATTTCCCCACAAGCCCTAGTTCCTCTAAACTCAGTGGTACAACCGCAGGCTTCTGGTGTCTCTTCAAACTTCAGGATCTTCACATTGTTCAGGTTCCAATTCACCGAGAGAGCGGTGCAATGTAAGCAAATGTCCAACGGCCCCGTTCCAGCTGGCAAAGGGTCCTGATGTCTCCATGCCAGAGCCTGGGGACGGAAGCAAAAGGCTGAAACCCCTCCAATCCTCTTTGCTATGGTCCAGGGACGGCCAGGGCCTGGGGTTTCTGGACAGGAGAGGCTGACCTTACCCAGAGCTGCTGCTTTTCTCTGGAGCATGCCAGCATCCCCGGGGCTGAACACTGAGCCCGCGGGAAGGCTGCCCGCTGCTTGGCATTATGTGTACATCCCTCCATCTGAAGCCTCTTTCACCACTCAGCCACTGGACTGTGGCCACACCGTCCACCTGTGGACTTGAGTTGTCTGAAGTGTGATTCTCATTCCTCTGTGCTTCTTATTCATCTTAAAAGATATTCCCACATGTCGCATGTCTACTTAATCATGCCCGACTGGTGATGCCGGCCTGCGGGATGGTACCCATCTCCACGTCAGGTAAGGTTCTGAGCCTTACCTGGACATGACAGGATTGGTCTGTCTTGTCGTTTGGCCTGTTTCTAACTTTTAAATATTTTTCTCCTCTCTAGGCACTCATTTCCCTTTCTTCCAAACCCCTGCATGAGGCAGCCTCCTCATTAAGAATGATGAGTTCTTAAAGCAAAGGAAGAAGTTCTTCCACTGTTCTGCACTCAGAGAGGATTAGCACAGAACGGGACTCTGCCCTGGGCTGACCAGGGCACTGATGGCATGGTCCCTGCCCTGACTTGCCCTTTGATGATGTGTTCATACCAGCTCTCACCTTAAAATCCCTCTGTGAAATGGCTTTCTCTAGTCTTTGCCTCTGTACCTGTGACCAGTTACCCCAAATTGCTTATAGACTGAATAGGAAAATAGGTTTCATGTGGTAAAATGAAGTGAAAAGAGCACAGGACTTACAGGTTGGAATTTAGACTTGGCCAAGTGGTTTGACTTAGTCCAATTAATCATCCAGAGCATAAGTCCTGTTCTCGTGTCCCTCAGCTCTGTTAGTTTATCCGGCCTTATTAATGCCCCTTTATGTGAAAATCATTCTCAGGTTTTAAATTCGGGAACAGTGTCCTCCTCTGTGATAGTCAGTTTCCTGTTACTGTAACAAAATGCCAAAATAATCAACTTAAAAAGAGGAAAGCTTTGCTTTGCCTCATGTTTCGGAGATTTCATTCCACAGTAGGCTGGACCTGGGGCCTTGGGGCCCGTGGAGAGGTAGCATATCCAGGCAGGAAGCATGTGGTCAAGCAAAGCTGCTCATCTCATGATGGCTGGGAAGCAGAGAGAGAGACAGGAAGGGGCTAGGGTCCTGGGATCCCTCCATAGGCGTACCCCAAGTCTGGAAAACTGCCCCTAGGTTCACCTCCTGAAGCTCCCCCACCTCCCAGAAGCACCAGGGGCTGGGAAGTAAGCAGATGGGCTGTTGGGGACATTTCCAAACAACAGCACCTTTTTTCTACAAAACCTTGAAATTCTCAAGTGTAGACCCCCCTGTCTCGTCCAGCTGTGAACTCCCCAAGCCTGAAGCCGAGCCGACGTAGCCACGGTTGTCTTTCCTTGTTTCTGTGGTTCTCAGTGATGATGCTGATGATGGTACTAACAGTGGGAAGGGTCCCTCTGCTGGGCTGAGTCCCCTGGGGCTTACTGGGCAGGTGCACCGTGCTGTAGTTACCCCTGGCTTGTGAGAACAGAGGCCCCCGTTTCCCGGAGGCCACCTTCCATTCCAGAGGCACACGTCTCTTGTAATACCACCCTGCATTTTGGTTCTTAGGACCACTGCCTCTAGGGAAGTCGGAGGGAGGCCTTTGGAAAATGCACTTCCATGTCTAATTGTCTAAGGTTAGTTAGCATTATTATTATTATTATTATTATTATTATTATTTTCTCACAAGTCAAACACTGTTAGGCCCCGAGTTTCCCAGCCTGCCCTGTCCTCACATCGACACTATGTCCTCTCTCCACGGCCTCCTGCTCTCCGGGCCGGCCTCTCCACCTGTGTGCCGGCTCTCATCCCCACTTTACCTTCCCCCAGTTCATTCATTATTCGCATCTTTTCCATCTTTACAGTCTCTCCAGCCACTGAATTCTCTCTTCCCCGACCGTGTGTCTTCTAAAAACCATCCCTTCACAAATGCCGACCTTTGACACGTTGCCTTCCAATGCATTCGCATCAGATTTCCTGAAAGAGTGGAGACAGTGGGAAGGGTCCCTCTGCTGGGCTGAGTCCCCTGGGCTTTACTGGGCACCTCTTCCCTTGCACCTCTTCCTACACCCTCGACTCCTCTCCTCTCTTCCAGTTATTGCTTTCCACGCTCCACAGGACCATTCCATCAGCTGAAGAGTCTGTCCTTGGCCAGTTCCCCCTCAAAAGTCCCCTCTTCCCTGGGTGCCCCAGTGCGGGTCTGCCCAGATGCTCTTCATAAGCCTTTGGCTTGTTTCTCCCTCTTTCTTGCCCTTATTTCTCTAAAGAAGCCGACCGCACTTGTGGAAAGGGTGGCAGGGGGGTTTGGTCCTTTCTTCTTCACTGTTGTTAGGAGAGTCCATCTGCATCCGCCCCGACACCCACCTGTATTCCCCCTTTTCCCGAGCGTCAGAACTTCCTTTTCTACCTGGGTATTCCACAGGCCCCTCAATGGTGGTTATATCCGCTAGAAGATTCGTGAACTCCTCCAATGGGTCAGAGTTAGAGAGAGGACTCCTCCGTGTCACACTCAGCTGTGACAAGGCCTGTCCTTTCTGCCACTGATATCTCCTCCACAGTCTTTCCTCATTTCTTCAGCTGCGTGAGTGCACACCCCCAATGCTCATGGAAGGGATTCAAATTGGGGAAAGTCGGGGGCAAGGGGTGACGGAGAGATTGGTCCACGGCATGATGTTTCTGTTAGGTGTGAGGGAGGCTGGTGTGCGATGGCACCGTGGGGCCAAGGCAGTTACCAAGGATGCACAGCGTGCCCCGAAATAGCTACAAGAATGCACTTATCATGAAGAAACGAGAAAGATTTAAGGTGCTGGAGATGCTGATTACCCTGATTTGATTATTACCTAACGTATACATGAATCAAAATACCCTATGATTCCTTATCAATATGTACAGTGACTATGTGTCAATAAAGAACATTTGAAGTCGCTCCTTCATGTATCTCCGTGGCTTCCCTTCCTGCCACTCTACTCCATTCAACAATTCGCCATCTGTTCCCTTTTTAAAATGCGATTTAATGGCCTCGCTCCTCAGCGTGAAGCCCCTGCTAACTCCTTACTGCCTCTGCGTGGGCAGCACGACTTCACTCTCTGTATTAGCTTCCTGTGGCCACTGTAACAAATCACCCCAGACCTGGTGGTTAAGACAAAGCAAATTTATTCTCGGAAGTACTTGGGGCGGGAAGTCCAAATGCAGCCTCCCTGGGTCGAGCTCGCAGCTTGCAAGAGGGCGTGGAGGTTCCACGGAGTCCCAGAGCAGGGATGCGCATTCTGGCTGACCCTGGCCTCACTCCACCTGCACCCTGCCACTTCCTTCTCCTGCGGGAACCGGCCCGGGGCCCTTAGTGGCCTCTCCGGTGCTCCAGGCAGAGCTGCCTGCTCGCCAGCCCCTCATGATGGCTGTGTCCCAGGGCGCTCCACATTCCACACTGCCATTCCCTGCAGGACCAGCTCCCACAGTGACAGCCCTGACAGCACTAACTGTATTTCTCTTCTCTTCTTTAATTTCAAGAGTTTGTTTAAAATATTCAAAACACATAAAACAGCACAGAATGAAAAGTAAATCTTCTTGCTCTTATTTCCCAGGAATCGAGTTCCACTCCCAGAGGCGATCAGACAACCATTACTACCAGTTTATGGTCTACCCGTCTGGAGATAAGAAACACTCAAATTGTAGGAAAAGAGATATGATCAGGGTCCAGCTTTAAAAAAAAAAATCATACACATACATACATATGT